GGGGTATTTTATCAAATTCCGAACGACATCCGTGCGATATCCAAGAGAGGATCTACATTAAAATGCAATAGGAATTACGCACGTCACACTTTTTCTTACATATGTTAGATAAAGCATAAATTCTCGATAATAAAATTCTTCGGAAGATCTCCTTTGGATGTCATAAATAACAAACCGCTTTAAAAAAGATTTATTTATCGCCGTTTCCAGATTTAATCAAAAATGTTTGATATATCTATCCCGTGGAAATTTATTGACGCCGAGGACGCGGTTAAATGTTTAATTTTTTCGACGATCCATTTGCGGAGGACGAAATCTTTGTATTGTAAAACAGGATGGGGACATCAGAGGCCAACGCAAGAGCGGCTTGTAAAATAACAAAGCCAGTGTGGCTCATGTAGAGAAACGAATATGTTTATATTTTTTACCCCCATCTGTCAGCGGTGGACTTGATGTAGGTATTTTGTCAGTCTCCTCTGACGTATCAGATTTTTTTGAATAAAAGATAACACCGCGGAATGGATTAAAGTAGACAAAAAGCTTAAACACTTTTATTAATGGTGGGCTTTTCGAATTATTTCTGTTTGAACGTGTGCGGTGCGTGTGTAGTTATCGAGCGATTCGAGCAGACAATTCAACCTCAAAATTGCTCATAAGGGAGTGAATAAAGACTAAAACAATGGTCATTGTATATTTAGATATCGATTAAGCTTTCATTATAATTAAATACCAATCAGGTCCTCTTGTGATTTATATCCGCATATTTCAAATTGTTTTGTTATAATTAGCATCACAAATTGCAGAGAGTAAATCGGTTTTATTATACGATATTCATGTGGCTGCTGCGGCCTTACCATTCGGATTCTAATTGCTCTAATTACACAAATTATACATGCCGTCCCGTTAAATGATGAACTTTACAAGATAGCCGCTCTGCGTCGCTTATTCAGCCCACCACAACCGAACCGGCTTTTACCGACTCAAAAAACTTCAAATCTAATACAAATCAAACAAAACCACCGAAATAAAACTAATTTAATACGCGCCCCCTCCAAAAAACCGCTGACGTAACAAGTACCACACCAATCGTTCGGTCTGTCAATCATCAAACGCCGCGCCAATTTCAAAATTACAAAAGAAAATACGTTCAAAGCTTTTCTCATACGCTTGTATATTATATTTCGAATATGAGCTGCACGCTAGGATTCACATGTACCTACGGGGTAAAATTTATTAGCAGTTTACTCTCCCAAGGAGAAACTTGCCGACGGGCCGTTTCTAGAACTAAAGGTTGCCCCGCACTGAATCAAGCGACCCTAAAGTACAAAATTAACGGCACTGCCACTAGTTTTAATAAACCGACAAGCTATTATGAATGTGAGTGTAAATACTCGGTCGTAAATTGAAATTTTGAAAGAGTTATTCACAACTCAGGAAAAATATTAAAGTAAATTGCGCGTTCGTAAAATATGGAGAAAATTTCATAAAAAAGAGCTACGAAATTTTACAAAAATATTAAGACAGGTGAGGTTCATTTTAGCCGGGTTGATAAATTTGTGGCTTCGTCGAAGTTTTGCAAGTTAATCTGAGCTTTCGTTTATCTTGGTGACGCCAAGCTTGTTGGCGAAGTGCGATGACATATCGTAACAATGAAACCGCAAGAATTGCAATTAATTATATGTTTGTCTAGACGGAGTTTCTAGTCGAGGATTATATATCTACTCATATTCAACTATTTCATGCTTCAGGTGAAATGAAACACTTCAATTTTTTAGCCCAACTAGTGTTACATTATATATCCATATTATAACGTTTATTAACAATGAAACACAGTGTAAGAAAAAAAGTGCGTTTAGGTAATCTTTAAAATAATAATGAAATTGAGCAAAAATGCGCTTCAGCAATTCCGTTTATTAATAATCCATGAATTTTTAAAAGTGCTTGTTGATGTAAATTCTGGCGGTTTATTTAATTTGATGATTAAAGCTGATTTCGTATTGACATTATCGTGAAAAAGCTGATTTGAACGAATTATAAAAAAAATTATGGATATATGGTGTAGTTATGGTGCTTCAAAGGCAAAGAATATTGTACGTAAATAACAAGGTATTTTTTACTTAGTCAATTTTGTGTTGTTTACGACCTAATTACCCACAAAACATCACGCTATTATCGTAAAAACTTCAGAAATGAAATAGTATTTAACAAGCAATAACAGTTTCTACACATAATAATCGAAAAGTGGAGTGGCAATTGTGTAAATCGTTGAAGTTAAGTTATCTTCGTTTTATGGTGAATTAGCGTGTTTACCCAATTTGTAGTGACTAAGCCTAGGGTATTTGGGGTCTCGCCTATAATTTAAATTTATAATGTTTTAACGTGACGAGTGTAGCTTGTTATTGGAATGTGGTATAGCAGTGACTTTTGGTTAACAGTGATGTAATTAGCAATCCCGTCTGTGGGTTGAGAGCTTCATCGATTTACGTCATATCAAATTTAGTAAGTACGCTAATGAATTCAAGCTGAAAATAATAAATTGATACAGAGTGACAAAATTAATTTTTCCATTATAACGGTAGATGTAAATTCTTCATCGAATATGACACGTAAAGCTATTTATGGTGCAATATTTCATTAGAATTAATGCTGCGGAGTTTTCCCGAAACACAACAAATATTGACAATTGGAAATAAATCGTTTCAATAATCTCAATAAATTAACGCATAGTAATTATTGTCTTGGCCACAAGCGGCATGTTTCTGTTAATAATTATCCAAGTTATAAATTCTACGAAGTTATTGGATTTCTGGGAGCTTAGATAGTTTGAACTGACGTATATAAGTATAGTGTAGAAAATTAATAAGAAATTTCCCTTGAGTTATTAACGCAATGAGCGGTTGTTGAGTTACTCCGATTACGACTTTACTGCGTCGACGTGCCACCTGCACAATGACAACACCTTTCAGTTTCTCCAGAATTAAGACTTACATAGAATAATTAGTCATTATGCGCTGTAGCGCACTAAACCTCCGAGCTTTATCTGGAGCTCCATCTTTCCATCTATTCTCTCAACATTTCTTACACAGGCTTTTTGGCAATTTGCCCGAATGATAGCCCACAAATTCCATCTGACCCAGAGATAACTGAACTGTAAATGGAGACATAAATATTAATTAAAACGGTGAATCCTGGCATCCGTCAATGAAATCTTACATTGAATTTCATTTAAAACCAAAAACAAAAAATCCCCGTTCAAAACTAAAACCCAAACCGCCCAATCGATCAATAACTCCGTCCTCTATACGGTCTTATACAAAGCAAGTTTTAAAACGTGTATCGATTACATATTCACTTTGTAAATGCCACACCCCACAATCGATCAAGAAAACGCTGACGAATACTTTTACCATTTGTAACGATCGGACATCATCCATAAAACAGCAAACCTTCTTTCAACAAAAATTCTTTTTATAAAACGCTCTCCGTAAATATTGTCACATCCACTTTATTACAAAATAAAAACATTTGAGATCTCCTTTTGTTTACCTTCAACACCAAGAAAATCTATTTGAAAAACAATTATCACATCGTCGCCTTTTATCGAATGGATTTACGACCAAAACAAGAACCGTACGCCGGGGCGTAGTAGAGGCAACAAGGCACCTACAAATATGAAAACGTTTTACAAAAAAAACAAAAACGTAAAACCAGGGTCAAGACCCGCTTGACTTCTAAAAGCACAAAGAAATGACGATACAAATCTATAATAGAAACTAAATATATCACCTAGGGTCACTAATATATTCCATCGTTAGACCGTCGGACACCCCAGTCATATGTACACATTCCCACCCAGTGACACTTGAAATTAGGGTTATTTCCTCTGGACACACTTAATGAGATGTTTCCCGTCTAACTGTCAAATCGTTTAACAATGTAAATGTCCAAACCACCCAGCCAGGTCAAGCAGGTTCAGGTCAGGTTAAGTCGGGTCTGCTTTTGTTACCTTGGTGTCCTGAAGACCTATTTTAAGATTCCTTCCACAATGCCCGTGTCTGGAAAACCAGTCTCTAATTTGGGCCCGTCATGCGAGCCCAAGGCTATCCACTGACTCTTTATCTTAACCTTTGGCAAATCAACAAAAGGGACCGCTTTGAGGTACCATTCTTACCACACTTCTTCACTTTAGGTACGTTTTATTCTCCCAGATAATCCCAAGATTTCACCGAAAAATGGATGTCCCGAAATCAACCGCTTCTCTTCCCGACGTGAGACCCACTGAAGTACCGCGTCTATCTTATAAATTAGTTTGTTTGTCACCTGTGCTAATTGGTCTGGTGGTGGGCGTCAATCACAACTACCCTTTTAAAACAGTCCTAAAGACTGATCTGCGACCCGAGAAGTAATCCTTGCGTGCTTGCGCTTGAACCTCAACACTACCCGGTCGCTTCCACCTTGATTGAGAAAGCTGCGTATAGCTACAATGTGAAATTACTATCTAGGGTGTGACTGAAAGTTCTCAAACAAGATTATCCATGAAAACGGATAACTTCCATCCTTTCGCGTCTTCCACGGATCCACGAAAAGGGACCTAATATCCGAAGAGAACTTAATCCATAAAAAATTTGAACTGTATAGCGAGATTTTTAAAGATGACGTCAGTTTACAAAAAAAATTTAACAAAATCCGTGAAACGCTGTGACAACAACACACAATGTAATTTTTTTTCGTTCGAGCTCGTAGAGTAAAGGGAATGTCTTAAACGTCAGTCACAGTTTTCGATTAGAGTATTATTATTAACTCGAGTTTGTTTTGTATGGAAATCGAATACTTTAGATAATGGATCGATGTAGGAAAAAGTGAAGCGGAGCCAACCTCTTGTTGCTAAATTTCGTGAGTTGTATTAAATTTAGCGGGCGACCTAAGACGATTTTGAGAAAGGTTGTGTGGTTAATTAATTCAGTGATGTTACATTAACCGGTTACATTTAATGTTTGCAGGTGAGCTTCCGGCGGCTGTCCACCACGGCAATGCAGCCCCTTCGGGACTAATCTCTCCCACGTTGATACTCCTATTGGCTGGATGGTTATTGGCGTACCAGAGGTGACCCCCGTTTCCTTATTGGTGCAACACTTTTAATTAAACCACAGTGCAGGTGATTCAAGGGGTGACCCATTGACCCGTACAATAACTGTATACCTAATTATACTATCATATCAAGGTGCCGCGATGGACCAACTTACTGTAACTGTTACCTCATGGGAGTAGTCAGCTTGTGTCGGTTTCAGTCGGTGATACTTTACAGCCAAATTTCACTTAAGTAATTATTTCCGTACTCGAATTCGGGACACAAGTAATAACGATTTTACTTAACATTCCAACGTTTCGTGTGTTTGATCTCGGTATTGCTCTACTGCGAATACCGAGCCACCGGGTAACCTTTTAGTCAACCGTAAATAAACTAATTCGTTTTCCACATAGTTACGTTGCGCATAAACTGATGTCTTTTTTCACCCGATTCTATGTTGATTTCTAAAAGGTTACCCTTCTACCTTCCTAGTAAACTATTATGTGGATGACTTTTGAACCAGTGGATGTTGTAATCACAAAACTTACATTAATCTATGAAATACCTATTTATATAAATACATATACAATATATTCGACTTAATCAAACCAAAGACAGTGAGAAGCTTACGAACATTTGCGCGAGCTAGTGCTTAAAAATATGTATTGAACAACAAAATCATGTGATAAAGTAACTTACTGTGTGTATTTTAATTACAAAAGTAACTCTCTTTTCAGTTTCAACTTGAACAAGATCTTTCGTTTCTTAACGTTTAAGGTTAAGTCAAAACAGAACCAAGATAGATACTCAGTATTCTGAAGACTGGAAGATCTTGTACTTAATTAAAAAAAAAACATTTACAGGGGTCCTTTTTGTACATTATAGTTGGCGTAATATAATTTTAATTGTAAGCTGTCATGCTTTCTTCATTAGTATGTAATTTAAGAAATATCAAAATGGATGTGTAATTGGGCTCCTGACCAACTGTATATAAACCTGTGTATGTCTAACATGTCGCGACTTTTGTATCCAATATTGTACACAAAATTTCAACAAAAACACTCTTTTCTGGCGACAGAAAATCTCAAACAAAGCAACGTTTACGAGAAACTCATACGCTCAAAAGATCCAACTGAATTAAAATGTATGGGAGCCGGCCACTTTAACCGAGAATGAATGAATCATGTGAAGATTAAATTTTAAAGCCTCTTACTTTTTCTTTTAGAAGTACTTTAAAATCGCCCGCACATCTTCAACGCTTATCTGAAAATAAAGTAAAATAAATAGCCGAAAAATATTCCTAATCACACCTGACTCCGGTCTTAGCTTGTTTATGGATTTTATGTTTTCGAAGGAGTTTTAAAAGTGTTTGCTTCCGTTTGGTTGTAATCGTCGCGTACGTTATGATTCACGACACAATTTACACTTCCGAGATAAAGCAAATATTTTCCAACTCGTATTTATGGCTACAAACACTATACGTTATTTATTTTTGGTAAATATATACCTCGTGATTGTTCCCTAGTGTTGACTAGACTGATTGCATTTAGCTGGAATGTTTGATTTGTGACTTGTTTTAGTTTCGTTCATTTTTATTCACATTTGGCGAGTCTGATTTAAGCGGTAAAAAAGCACCTACGCAATCTACTAACCACAACATAGACTACTGGATAGACTAAACACAGATTTCAGTAACTAAAATTCCACCTTTTAAAAGTAAAATTAGCTTTTCCCGTGTATGTGGTTAACAGTAATACATGACCTCTCATACCGGATAGGTTAAGTCATGTTGGGGCAGCTAAAGTGAGGCTATGCCAGGTGAGGTCAAGTAAGGTTAGGTTAATTCCATCAGGTAGTAACAAAAATCGTCCCTGAGGAAGTGAAGGAACAACAACAAAACCAAATAGGTTAGGTTAAGTCATGATAAATGTCTTTGGCACCAATCCGGGATTTGATGAAAAAGAATTACCGGTCCTTGACTTGCAGTAATATTCAGGCCATTCCAAGTCAGTATGCGGTTGCTAGGGGACCATTGTCCGTCTAATCCTCATCTTAAAAATAAAAAGATTAGTAGCGATGTCCCATAAAGGAAGGTCATATAAGGTGTAATGGTGAAGTTTACCTGATCGTGAGTAACGATTACGCAGGCCAGTCCCAACTTAAATCTGGAATGTGCAAATGCATGTTTCAGTTGGTTCGGTGGAGTGATATACTGATGCCCCGTCTCTCTGTCCTATCTAATTGGGTTCGGACCGGTTAGCGAGCACGATCATGGAAAAAGTTTACCACTACGACCTATATATGGGTGCGTAGACAGATCCTGGGGTTGGCTTAAGGTGTAGTTGGACTCGAGAGGGTTGTACATTCTTCGTCATAGTTTTCCCTATGGGGGCCCCTTGGTCACTTCATGCCTCAAGGGGATCTTCAGACTAAATGAGAAGACCAAAGATAGGTTGTTCCAAATTTGGCTAACCCTGAAAGAATAGATTTTTTATTAGTATCTAAAACACTCACATTTCAAGGTTTAGATTTCTGCTGTGAGCAGATTATTCAAAGTAGGTGGAGATTTAGTTACTAAAATCGTATGTACAAGAACTAATTAATATTTTAACGCAGTTTCAACTAAGTGGTCTATTTTTGTACTGTAGTATAGCAGATACAACAAACGCTACATTTCCTGTTCTAACATTACTAACATTATTTACTTGCTCTTAGTGTACTGTCAATAAACCCACAAAACACCAACGCATGTCAATACGATCTATATTTCTCAAACGTAACAGCCGTCTATTTTGACGAATTTTGGATCGCCTTAAGTTTGAATTTAAAATATTTGAATGCTCTGTTTTGCTGATATATATTTTAATTCTGTGTGTGTTAAATTTGTTTTGAAATACCTCCCGGGACGCCATTTGTTTACCCGATTGAATAAATTTGTCTGACATTAATGATGAATACTTGAACACTTCTGTCACCACAATTATCGTTTAATATCGTTGTGCAGTATTAATAGATGCAAGAAATAATGACACCGTTATTCCAGCAAACAATAATTCAGGAAGCCAAATTAAAACTCTCTCTAAAATAGAATTCATAACAGCATCGCATTGTTTATATTTTATGTGGATCGTTTCAGTAAAAGCTCGCGGATTGAACGTAGGTTTGCGGTCTGCAGGACTGAAAATTGAATTTGTTTTGATGTTTTGCGCAACCGAAAACTAAAATTCGTTAATATTGAAAGCGATCGCCGTAATTTACATAACTGGCAGCGCTTACATCACGGCACGATGTCGAAATCGTCTTGTTCTCGTATTCTAAGCAAATCTATCGGCAAATACTCCCATACGATTTTGGAATAGTAACATTACAGAGAATCAATATTGGATGCTTAGTTCGCAACATAGTTTGTTCCAATTCTGTATTAACCGTAATAGAATAGTGACTTGACTTAAGAAGGAGCCCTTTGTATAATTTCGACACGACGGGGTCGGCTAATCAACGGAATTAAGGTGCTCGGGTTCGAAACGTTGGGGTTCACCGATATTGCATTGTTGCGTCTTTTGCTGTGAAGTGGATAAATAGTTTCATGATCGGTTTAAAATTTCTAGGTTTGCGTGCGACTCTCGAATGTAGGCAACCCAATGTGCAGCTGTGTCAGAGCAGCTGAGAGCTTTCCCTTGTTCCACCAAGTTAGATTGTCCACGATTATTCTTCTTTACCCAACAATTAAAACACTAGTTGAGACTGCGGCTCGTAATCAGACTTCTTATTGTTCTCACAAACCAAACTATCATCTCGAAAAAGAGCTCCTTCTGTAGTCGCTACGAGCTCTCTTATATCTACCCACCCTTGTATAAAATATTTTCTAACTCGTTGTAGATCAACATAAAGAGATTTATTAGTTGATAGTTTCAAAGAAATATTAGTATTCAAAATTGCGATTGTGATTTTTACATTTTGTATAAATGTAGGCATGTCAATATTTATCAGAGAATATCTTTCAGATTTGAATGTAAAATATAGAAATATATATACATATATGGGTAAACTTGGTGCTGGCCGACTTAAGAAGAGAAGGCAAAGTTCTGTTAATATAAGGAGAATTAAAGTCGCCGGAATCACTTACTCCAACTAAGTTTCCAGGAACATACTTCCCGTTATATCAACAGAATTAACTTTTATGGAAAGTTGTAAATAAACACATATTCTGTACATGTCATGACCACTTCTGTACGCGATACAGCCGGGTTGGACTAACGTTGCTTACCCTGATTCGTGATGAATGTCTGCTAAATGGCGCGTGATCTGATTTAACAGCTGCTACAGAAGGCTAAGCTTTGATCAATTCACCCAACACTAGGCTAGAATTTTTACGGACATTGTTAGCCAACATCCAAATCTAATTCATAAATCATTTATCGCTCTTCTTTTGTCTCTTCATTCGTATGAATCTGATAAAACATTGTAAAACAATGCATGTCCTCAAGAACGAGCCACCGTTTGAAGTTCGAATACATCAACGTTTTTATCCGATCGCACAAAATCATCGTTCACAAAACCCTATTTGATTCCGACGTACTCGTGTGACACGCTATAACACACACATTTACCCAGACACTACGCAACCACTCTCGATTTTATTTACAATGGACCAAGTATCTTTAGGGTGTATTTTTATATTAAAATGTCATCAGAGACTTAGACTTAAGTAGTTTTCAATTTAACGTCAAATTTAAGGAAATGTAGTTACGCCCACTGAACAAGAACTCCATCCACAAATGCACAGATGTAAAAATGCACCCAAAATATCTACGGTGAAAGTGGTCCATTTATGTTTTACATCCGAAACAAGCAATTTCTTTTATCTGTATCATAAACATTAACTTGTTTTAATTACGACAGCACAGTAACGAACGACTTCTCTTAAAAAACCACAAAAATCGGTTCGCGGACTCGCGGGACGTGACATAACCTCACCCGTTGCGTAAAGCGCTTATTTCAGCCCGTGCACAATGTATTAACTTTCATGCGATTTATGTTTGCCTGTTTTATGTGAAACTGTACCCAAAATGGTCTCAGTTGAGACGTTTTACGTAAGTGGTCCGTCTCCCTTCCTGTTTGAACGTTATTTATTTACAAGTGAAGAATAGGCAAGGAATTCTTCGTTGACGGTTAACAGATAGAGTCAATCTGCCGATCTGCGGGCTCGCAGACGTCGCAGGCGAGCGTCGAATGATAGGATGCGGAAAAAGTCGTCGATTTCTCACGGTATGCGATTTAAGTGGAATTCTTGCGCGGGTGTTATAGAAAAGTATATAAATATGTAACGAAGTTAAAACCGTCAACACTTCAGGGAAATGTCAACAAATAAAATGCCTAAATTAAGTAGCTGTTGAATGATCACAACGTCAATCCGGACTGCTCTCACGATAATCCAATTATTGTCTTTTATTTCTCCAGAATTTCTCTTTGGAAAACGCGAAACACAGCTGAGTACGGAAAAGTGACACATATTTTAACGGTGACCCACTTAACGGTAATATTTGATCGGTGTAGCAGTAATTCATCAACAAATTGTATTTTGCTCAAAATGTCAGATATTACACATTACACATCATCCCTTTCATATAATCTATACGTTTGTTCGCTCGTTTTTCTGTAAATAATGTTGGATCAATGTTACACATAATGTGATTATTATGTATATAAAACATATAAACACATAATATGTATAGACACTGTTTGTTGTTTTATAAATAAAGTATATGACGTATTCGTGTTTTATTTATTTCTTATCCCACATCCCGATTTAATCATGACGCTACCGCGCACACAACTTCTCTACGTAAGCGGTAGCGATAATAAAGCGTGCTCTCTTAAATTAACTTTGTCAAAACATAACCTCACTTTTGACGTTTACGATACAGTTGTGCTTAGAGCAAATTGAGTAAGACGTTCTTTCTTCACGACAAGAAAGTGGAATTTAAACAGCTTAACGTGAACGTTCAGCTTGTTGCTACAATGTTTCGACACTTTAAATTCGGCGTTTCATCAAAACTAATTCACTGTGATAGGTGGCAATTTGTTCTGCAGACCAACAATTGCCTGTAATACATCACTTTACCGTATTGATTTTTTGTACCTATTGTACAGCGGAACTACGAAAATAGCACTGCAGATCTAACAGGTAAGTATAACGATTCATCTATGTTAACACTGAGCTACACATACAACGAAGGACCTACGTTGTGTTGTCAACGTAGTGAAATAGCAGCCGTCATTTCATTCTTAATTCTAAAAGAGTAGCTAGACAAAACATGAAACCTTACTCAAAAAAGCGAAATTAGACCAAACGAGTTTGTGGCTTATTATCATTAAAAGGTAACCATAAATTTAGTCTGTATAAATTTTACGCAACATGAAAACATAAATATAAAACAAGGGTATTATTTTTTATGTTACACAAAAAATAGCCTAATCTGGTTTGTAATGATTTTTAAATAAACAAACAAGTTCTGATTTTAGAGTCATTCATAAATTGTGTTTACGTACAAGAAAAATAAACAAACACATTGTCAATCATTTCATGAGAACATTTAACGGATTTTGCATGGTAGACCGACTTTTGACATTTATAATGATTAAGAGCGTAGTCATTTTGGGTCCAGATGAAGCGTCACCTAGATGGCGACACAGCAGCGGGGGCTGTCAGTTCTGACGTTTGGTGGATTAAGACCTTGTCATATCGCCTTGTTTGCCGCTTTGGATGATTACTTTAATGAAAATAACTGGCGTTATTAATTTTTGGCGAAGAACAATGGTGAAATTGTGCAATTAGTGCCTTGTTTGTTTTCTGTTTGGAAGACAAATCGTTCGTCGTGAAGAAAAAGTGTAGGTGGGGCAGTTAATTAAACGAAAGAAGGTGAAATACGGAAGTATTTAAAGGTTAAGAAGCTGAACCTTTCAAGTTTGACAGTCTCTGAATACAGGTAATACGGTCTAAAATTGGTTGCAATTGATCACGTGACAGCAGGTCAGGTCAGGTCCGTCGAGTAAAAACTTGTCCAAATTCATGGCCTACTCGAAATGGAATTACTGCAATTGCGACGAACTATAACACATTATTCCCCAAAATAAGAAGAAATATGAAAGTTGTCGCTGTTATTCCTTTCATTTTCATTTTGTCAATTACATTTACTTTAAGTTAGGTGTTTTCGTATTTCTTTTATTAAGTATTTCAGTTTCTTCTGAGGTATTTCTCCCGCAAATTACCCATCGTTGTAAAATCATCTTTGAAACGTTCACGAGTTCTAAACTAGGGACACTTACTTGGTGGTTTACTCCTTAAAAATATTTGCACGTTTCACTCACCTTTACTATATGCATAAGTGGCACGTCCGTCATATCGTCTAGAGTGAAAGAGCATTGTGCAGACACGACAGAAAGTGCAATTTTTCTTTCTTTAAACGCGTTCAATTTATTTCATAGACAAAAACACGGTCTAACTCCGTTTTAATTGAAGGCCCCCGTCAGAATTTGAAGGCGTCAAATCGATCTTTAGAAATTATAGTAAAAAAGAGAGTGAAAGTAAATCTTTCACGTATCATCAATAGTAATGAAAATATGCAGTCTTCCGCTTAAATAATTTTAGTAACAATAACAAAAAACATGAAATCTGAATCGTGTAAGTAAAGCGTCGGTTACATTCTCTAGTTCTCTGTAATCGCATTGCAAACCCGGAAACAAGTTCATTGACTAGAAAACTATAGGAAATTCAGCGACTAATAAAAGCACCATCAAGTAATTGTTATCATCGTGATTACTATCGAAAAGTGGTACTTTTACTTTTATCAAAACTACGACGAAATTAAGGCATCTTTTGGTGAAGAACCGGTTGTGTTCGGCGCCACTCGTCTCAAACCTGGCTAAAAAAAAATAAAAGTTATTCTGCAAGAGGATTACCACTGGTGTAAGTATGTTAACATAATTTCAACTTTCAGCGCCAGCGACATTGTAAAAGTTTCATTATATAATCGATTACTCGATAAATACTATGTTTCTATTAGTAAACTATAGTCAGCCTACTGACTCCGGTTTATTAACATACTCATTAAATTATAAAAGACGGCAACTACACTAATTACATGCTAAATGACATCAAACCTTTGTTATGCGAAACGTGAAACTGATACAAGCGATATTATAAAAGTCGCGCACTAATTCGATCTTAATTCAAGCAGAAAATAAGAAAACACGAACAGATAATACCACATATTTGGTTAACATGCTTCAGTAAAATAAAAAAAATTAAGACGTACCGTAGTACAGACACAAGAAATTTTCAAACGTAATCCACCTGAAAAACTATTTAGATCATAAATACAGGTAAGCCAAAAACACTCGCTTTCTCTCGGTACTCTCTTTCCCGTATTTTGGAAGTGAAACAATTCGCCACAACTTCAAAATACGGATGGTGAAATATTTACTTCAGGTAGCATTAATCCCCAGACCTCTCATCTGCGACACGATAAGATAAACCACATTTTTTCATACTCTAGGGGTCATGAAACTTCAAGAAAACATGAAAGAGACCAGTCGTCGGACCCTATTGCAATCAGTTGTCAAATAAAAATATTTTACAACTTTTCCGTCGGAACTTCCACGTGTCGTTTAAGCCTATCGACCACAAAACACCAACCCTTCCACCACAATATAGAACTTATTACATAAACTTTGGTAAGGACCACAGAGCCAAGTTAAGCTTAGTTGAAAAGTTTTTTGTTGGACTCGAGTGATGAATCAGTGGCATATATATTGATTTTTTTATTTTTTTATTATCTGAAGCAAAAAAACTAACAGTATGTATGAGTACATGTTGAGGACCGCTGTTTAACCAGCGAACGTTCCCCTCATCTCCGAAAAATTCTAGCCATGTCGAATCGATGATTGCAAAATATCCATCCAAATAGCCTTATACATTATTTAATAACCGGGTGTACATCCATAATTATATAATCGCTTCCTGTTCGGCTACTCCGCGTTATATAATATTAAAATGAAAGATCACAATGTAAAATAGCGGAAGTGAATTTTTACGAGAAAGTGAAATCATTCTGGTAGTTCCAGTTATCTTCTTTGCTTTGTTTAATTTAGGAATCTGAATTTTGAAGGGGCTTTGGAGTAAATGTTCTGAGTATTATGTTGTCTCTCGACACGTCATAATCATGTCAAATGGTTCGGTAAACGCAAAGATTAATTTCTCCGCGAGATCGAGAAAAATGGAACGTTTAGCTAAACGTGGATTAAACTATGATGTAACACCACGTGCAAGTCTGACAGTGAACTTTAATAAAACTGTACACAACAGACAAAGTGTAATCCATTAAGACGATGTTAACAAAAGATTCTGGGTTTTTGTTTTAGTGCACCTGTCTTACAGAATTCTTAATCATAGAATGCATATTGTTACAAATTTTTAATGCTTACAACGTTGAACTAAATTAATGAAAATTTCGTTGCGTAATCGAGAAATTCGTTTTTTCTGTAGGCATGTCATACGACGTCCGACGTAATCCAGAACATAAATTCCGTTTGGACATATCTCTGGTATGATCAGTTTCCTTGCTTTATACAATTAAATAAACTCATTAAGTTCAACAATAACAAAATTAAGCGATTTTTTTTTTTCGAAAAAGAAACTTTTAGATGGCCAACTTCATTTGAATTAGTACAACAATGCCATAAAACGTAGCCATTTTTGTAAATAATCTTTTCCTGTTTTAAGAGGTCCAGGAACTAACTTTCCGCACGAGCCTGGTAAAAGTAAATCCGCAGCACTTAGGCTTTTACGCTAATAAAGCAAAAACCATTATTTCATAAATCAATTAAAACGGACCAACCAAGTTAGCGGAGTTCCAATAGTCACGGAATTTTGTGAAATCCAATTATCCTATAGTAACACGGTTATATAATTAATCAAAACAATAAAATAAAATAAATAAAATAGGATACGATTTCTCAGCGTGGTAAGCGGTGCACAGGAGAGGGGTTTTGTGCAGAGGGGGTTTCAGAGCACCGATTCGGGCCAAATTTTGCAGTTTGTGTCAATCAACTTAAACAACCAACATCAAAAATATGAGGCATAAAACAAGCAAAATTTTCGTATAAAAATTGTCGTGTCGTTCACTTTCGCGCAATTTTAAAAACAAGTTTAAATAAAAATAAAGTGCTGTTAAAAGTGAATGTGAATTTGAATTAGCTCTCGCCTTTTTGTGCTGTGTTAAGGAAATTAGATGGTGGTGATGCATGTGAGTAAAATTGGCTGGAAAATGTGGTCGTAGGTGGCAACAAAAAACAAAAAATCGATTGTCGATATGTTAATTTCGAAACATGTGAATAATTTGTACGTGTTGTATATAGTGGCCCTTTTTCCAAGCTGGACACGGATTTTCACTCGAGATGATCCCATGTTTTTCTCCGTTCAAACCGCTGCACGTAAAAGTGCAAGTAAAACAAGACCACTTTCATCTATCTTATTTTGTTGACCAAAGATACGGTTTTATTAACACAGTTACATAAACAATGTTTAACTCATTTATAGATTTGCACAATTTCGTTACAAGAACGCTTAACTGCAGTTAACGTGCAACTTTCGACCATTTAAAAGTATATTAATAAAACATGTTCGCTCACTTTTGTGAATGGAAATAACTAAGATTAATTAACATCATCGTAACCCACGTAACTATGACTAGATAACTGCCGTATTTTAAGTTACGTCGAAATTAGGATAAGAGATGTTTTGATGCTTGCAGTCAGAAAAATCAATAACTGCTTGCAGTGAATCTCATCTCATGTAGTAATTTTATTATATTAAACTTGATTTATATTCGCGCTTCTCTTAATTTACACTAAAGATACAAATTATCAACGATCTTTTTAAATGTGTAATAACACTAAAAGTGATAAGAAAATAGCTCTTATTTTTTGGCCAGTTCATTGTGACGATAGCAATCTAGACGGCGCAGAGCCTCTATGCATAAAGATTAAAACGTAGCTGACGACAAAATGTTTGCAACTAAAAGTCGTCAGAGATAAAAAGATTATTAAAGAGAATACGTTATTAACCCCAAACAGACTAAATCAGAGTAGTGTAGTTAATTCGTCCCAACTTACCTTACAATTCACCATCGTGTAAAACCAGCTTCACAAAACACTTTTTTCGTTAAGAGACCTTACTTAATTATCTCGTACTTTGCAATTAAAATTAGTATTTTCCGTATCGATGGTGATTTCGGTATTTATGGACCGATTTCAGAACGTCAAAAGACAATGGGGTCACGAGTGCTGATTAAAACTCGCTTGGAATAAATTAATGCTTTATTTCTTGATTCAATTTGTACTTTATTCGCCTCGCTGAAGTGATTCTAACAGTCAAAACCGTAATGAGCTGCTAAGATTGAGATAAACACCTGGATTTGCGTAATCACGAGCTGTGACTCCGCATCGGGTGTAATCAGCTCGTGGCGAGTAAATTAAAAAGGAATTTTTTAATTTCATTTTGAAAATCCGCCATCTGTTTACAAAACACAAACAGGCTTATGAATGATAAATTTCAGCGAGTTTACGGGATTCGGGTTCAAGTTCAACAAGAAACAAAATTATTTCAACGTGTTATATTTAAGTCAAAAATTGACGTCATCGTTTATTTGGAGGGATCGATTTAATTAAAATAAATAAAAAACTGTAAGCTTAGGTTTAACTTGTATATAAATAAAAATATTAAATTTTAACAGGTATCTGTACCAGATTCTGGTGGTGAAGACCCCAAAGATCAGCTAAACAAATGGTAAGTATTTGATTGTGTTAATTTTTGTTCGTTTAGTTTGTTTGTTGATTTGTTTTCTTGGCCAACATTCAAGCTTGAATATTGTTATAGCGACTGTAGAAATTTCAGCGATGATTAGGGTCGAAGAAAAAAGCTAACATAGTTAGCTATTTAAAACTAAATAATTGACAAACCATCGCAAGTTCGGACCAAAAAGAAACACATCTCAAACAAAGTTCGGTCCCTTCGCAAAAACTTTAGTTATAGTAAACGAGCTGTAACCTTGTTTAACGATCTCTGACGCACCCTACGTATCCAGCACTTTTATTAATACTGTTTCCGCGTTTATAATGCCCGTATATCAACGCAAAATTTCCCCTACATAATTTTTAGCGAAAATTTGAGCGCCTCTGCACGTCCTCGTTACGAGCTCCGAAATTCGAAATTGAAGAAACCGGTGTTTCGAGTGCTTCTTCTTGATTTGCTCAAAGAAACGAGCCTAATCTTGGCGTTATCCTCTCCTGCCTACCAGGACCATCAATTATGCGACGTGTTGCCCTGTCTACCTTCGCCAAAATAAGGGCTGACACGTCGCTCATCAGCCAACCAGGAAATTATTTTAGTACCTCTTTGAACGGTTTTACGTAAACATCTTGAAGGTTCTCACCAATTAAATGACTCATTGTTTACGCAGCACAAAGGAACGAAAATTTTCTTCGTGCCTTCTCTCCTAAAATAAATATTTATTCCAAAGATGACAAATTTCCTGTAAATATTGCTCCGATCGTTAATTAAATTAGGATCGCCGTTTGGGGGATGCTAGATTACGTCTACGAACCCGACAGATCGACGGGCTGATAGCACTTTTCATATTTTTTGGACGTTCGAATGACGTCGAATCTGTTGCTGCGATTAAAAAATGCGATGGTTAGGAAATAAGCGACGATAACTTTGTTTCGCGATTCTTTGTTTGCTGGTATGCTGATAAATGTAACAAAATTGGTATGTACTGAAAATAACGCTACGCAACACAACGATAGCATTCTGCAAGTGACGTGTATTTACAGATACAATGACATACGATTTTGACTGTCATATGGTGCGAATGTCGCTGAAAGCCTTTTAAATAGAGAAACGTCCGGTGAAAATATATTTCGTTTTACTCTTTTCAAATTTTCCAGTCATGTAGACGACGAATTTTAAAGAGGAGAAAGTAATTGTAATTTCACCTAGATCGGCTATCCTACATGCTGCGCCAACCGATATAATAGTTATTTCACCAAAAATATTTCCGACGAGAAAACCCAACTACAAAATAACTTACTTTTATTTACAGTGCAGTTTACCATTCTTTTACTTTTACGTAGACGTGTGGTAATGGCTCATTCCCCGTTGTACTAAAATATATTCTTTTCTTGTCTCGCAAGCTTTTCTATATGTGATACCTAAATCTCTGAGGCGTCACACCATTATTTCAAATATTTCTCGTTGTTATCTAACTTAACTAAAGACATGATTTTGGATCGATGTGACCTCTTTATCTCACTCGTAAATTTTAAAGTTATAACTTAATTTATCTCACGTAATTTGCGCGACATCATTCACTATTCCTCTTGAGCATTAATTTTTGCGACTGTTTTAAACACTTGGCCTTGTTAGTAATTACTTTGAAACTAAATGCATGTCAATGCATTTTTTTCTTTCATTATTTTCGTCCGACGTCTAGTTAACATGAATTTTCAAGGTTTATGTGATTAATGTTAATGTAATTTAAATTCGCATTCAGCCGTTTGTAGTCTAGCTGAATAAGTTATTTTACAATTATTTTTATATACAAGCGTTCCATTTAAAAGCTCGACACCACAGTTGTATTTTTTTTTTATGAAAAAAGTAATAAATGTTATCGATAAAAAAAATTGTTATTCAACAATTTTCAATATATTTGCATTTTTATTAAAACAAAATAAATTAAAAAGAAAGCTTTAAACTTTTTTATTCAGGATTATAAAATTTTTCATTTTCTCGTACGGTTTTATCATTCTCAAATTCTCAATAAACTGTAATCCAGTCTATCCGGCGACTGGCTACTTTCATGTTCTCTCGACGTTTAGGGCCTCCAGAGTACGAAAAAATAGGTCTCCCGTTTTATAATATAACGTACTCCTCTATATGTGGTTTATGAATCTACCTTGATTTTGTTTTCTATTTTCTCGAAAATTTTAAAAAATATTACACACTCCGTTTATCCAAACTGATATAGGTGTCCTTGCTAAAATATTGATGACGTCATAACCAAATTTTCTTAAAGAAAACTCATTTAAAACGTACGCATAACATGCTTCTTTACCTGTAATTTAACAATCCAGACATAGGTTTATTTTAACTTCTAGATTGTGTCATGCATTTTTTTTGAGTCACCCTGTCTAAGTAATTCTAAAAAATATCAATGCATTCATAAACCACAAATATACGTTCATAATATTTTATATATTTTAGATAGGATTTATAATAATAAAATTTTGAAATGATATTATCAATTTTTTAGGAAGGAATAAGTGGATGAATTTTGATTAACTATTTACAAAACATACAGTAACCGTACAAAGTTTAATGTTATAGCATTCGGTTTAACAGTTTCAAAGTTAAATTGCAACATTTTATTGTATTGATTTTTTTGTCTGACGTAAAAAATCAACACGGATTCATAAGCCACAAATGCAGGAGTATCTTATTTTCTAAAATTTAAATAACATTTACTGTTGTAAGATAACGTCATCCCACTGTTGGCGGGCTTGATCAGACAAATTTTGATTATCAATTTCGATATTCCTAACGTACATATAAAAGTTGACGACAATCAGTCCAGTAGTTTCGAAAATTGTTTCTGTAATAAAAATTGACGCAGCAGACGACAGACAGACCGAAACTGGGTGTTACGTTTAAAGAGAAAAACCATTACGGCATTTTCATTTTGAAACGTGCAACTTTGGATGTCGCCGAAAATTAAGTCAACTTTTTTTTAATGAAAATACGAAGTTTGATATTTTTGTAAATTTTATTATTTTATATTAACTACAAAAATCCGAAAATTTGATCAACTCACGCAGAATTTTTTTAGTTGAATTAAGTTTACAAATTGCTTTATACTTTGAAAGAAATTGACTACTAAGTACGTACAGATAAGCAGATAACCAACATCAGTGAAGGCAAATCAAAATTTACATTTGTGTTAAAAGAAAATTAAATTTGATTGATTTTGTCTCCTAAGTAGAGAGAAGACTAATTAATTAATTAAGCTATTTGCTAAGATAAAACTGATTTTGGCAAATGCCACAAGTTCTAAGAAAATTGAGGGCGGGTGGGCGGGACTAGTCTTTGCTAAGATAAGACTAATTTTGACAAATGACATCCTCTGAGAAAATACTTGCTAAGGCAAGCACTAGCCCCACCCACCCGCCCCCTCTTTTTTCAGAGAGTATGTGATTTGCCAAATTAAGCCTTATCTTACCAAGTACTAACCCCGCCCACCCGCCCCCTATTTTCTCAAATGTATGTGATTTGCCAAAATAAATCTTATCTTACCAAGTACTAACCCCGCCCATCCGCCCCCTATTTTCTCAGAGGTATGTGATTTGCCAAAATAAATCCTATGTTAGCAAATACTAGCTGCGTTCACCCGCCCTCTATATTCTTAAAATTTGTATTTGCTAAGATAAGACTGATTTTGGCATATGACAATCCTCTGAAAAAATTGGGGGTGGGTGGGCGGGGCTAGTACTTGCTAAGATAAAACTGATTTTGGCAAATGCCATAAGTTCCAAGAAAATTGGGGGCGGGTGGGCGGGACTAGTCCTTGATAAGGAAGACTAATCTTGGCAAATGATATATCCTCTGAGAAAATACTTGCTAAGGTAAGCACTAGCCCCGCCCACCCGCCCCCTCTTTTCTCAGAGGGTATGTGATTTGCCAAAATAAGTCTTATCTTACCAAGTACTAACCCCGCCACCCGCCCCCTATTTTTTCAGAAGATGTGTGATTTGCCAAAATAAATCTTATCGTAGCAAGTACTAGCCTCGTTCACCCGCCCTCTATTTTCTTAAAATTTGTATTTGCTAAGATAAGACTGATTTTGGCATATGACAATCCTCTGAAAAAATAGGGGGTGGGTGGGCGGGGCTAGTCCTTGCTAAGATAAAACTGATTTTGGCAAATGACATCCTCTGAGAAAATACTTGCTAAGGCAAGCACTAGCCCCACCCACCCGCCCCCTCTTTTTTCAGAGAGTATGTGATTTGCCAAATTAAGCCTTATCTTACCAAGTTCCAAGAAAATTGGGGGCGGGTGGGCGGGACTAGTCCTTGCTAAGGAAGACTAATTTTGGCAAATAACATATCCTCTGAGAAAATACTGCTAAGGCAAGCACTAGCCCCACCCACCCGCCCCCTCTTTTTTCAGAGAGTATGTGATTTGCCAAATTAAGCCTTATCTTACCAAGTACTAACCCCGCCCACCCGCCCCCTATTTTCTCAGAGGTATGTGATTTGCCAAAATAAATCTTATCTTAGCAAATACTAGCCGCGTTCACCCGCCCTCTATTTTCTTAAAATTTGTATTTGCTAAGATAAGGCTGATTTTGGCATATGACAATCCTCTGAAAAAATAGAGGGTGGGTGGGCGGGGCTAATCATTGCTAAGATAAGACTAATTTTGGCAAATGACATATCCTCTGAGAAAATAGGAGACAAATGTAAAAAATATGAATGCAATGGTAAGTCACAAGTAAAAACTCATCATATTTTGCACATTTTGGGTAGAATTTATTCGGCAAAATTTTGAGGTGACGTCATCTATTTCTTGGGGGGAATAAACAGATATATTTTGGTTACATGCTTACAATAACTTTAAAACATCTGAATAGAGGAGCTGTTATTATTTTATTATTATTAAATATAGGCTGGCGCGACTTTACTGTATTCTTATTTTTTTTCTAAATAGGGTGAACCGTTCTTGATTTGATCAATAAAGAAAAGGAGTGGAAATTTACCTGGGAATAGAGTTCGAAATTATGTATCCAAAGTACAAGTAGAATTAAACAAAAAAAAATAATAATAATAAATTAAATAATGATAAACAAAATTAAGGTGTACATTATTTTATAAAATTTAAAAATCCTTTACTGCGGAAAATATTGTGTTGACGTCAAAAAATTATTGGTAAATTTTGATGAGGGTTTGGACATCATCTGAATAATAAAAATCTACACAAACGACAGACCACACGTACTCTTGGGGCCATAGAACGCCGAGAAAACTTGAAAGTGGCCAGTAGCCCAATGGAGTAAAGTAAAAAGATGAGTGATTCCATTTAAATCATCAATTTTGTGATATCGGTAAAGAAATTTTACTGGTTTTTACTTCCCGAGCGTAAGCTAAGTCCATCGGACGAATGGCCACTTTTATATTTTCTCGACGTTTCATGACCCCTAGAGTATGAAAAAAGTAGTCTGCCATTTCCGTCTGTCTTTCTGTCTGTCTGTACCCATTTTTATTATACACGTAATCTCCGAAACTGCTGGACCGATTGTTGTTAAATTTTGTATGTATATTACAAATATCATGCAGATTGTTAAATGTTAACCAGAATTTTGTTAATCATCCCCACCAACAATTTAATGACGCTATTTCAAAGAATTCTATGTTTATTTGATTTAGCTCTTATATAACAATATAGTCCTATAAATGTGGTGTACGAATCCGCTTTAAACTTTTTCTCTAACTGTCCAAATTAAAACATAATGCACGGTATAATAACAGTTCACCATTAGCGTAAGGCAACCCAGTGGTAGTCTACTGGTTACGAGTCAGAAATGTGGACAGGTCGTCGCGCGTTCGATTCCAAACTTGCCCTTTCATTTTTTTCTTTTTTTTTCTCTCTTTCTCTCGCACTGTGTATTATCTGTGTTTATGACATTATAACAAATTTTTTTCTAATGAAATTACCCCACTTTTTCGAAAAGGTGAGAAAACGCTCCTCTTTATTTAAAAATGAAAAACCTTCTCGGGGGCGCCAAACGTCTTTTTTTTATTGTGAAACCTTGTCGGGAGTCCCAACTGTCTTTTTTAAAAATGTAAAACCTTTGTAGGTAAGCGAAGAAAAATGTTGCTACCCCAGTGGGAATCGAACCACACGTTTCCCGCTTACCAGGCGGGTGCCTTGACCACTAGACTACAGAGCGGCTTATCTTTATTTCGCTTACCTAGCTATTATTGTGCCGCCACACCTTCTCGGGAGCGCCAAATGTCTTCTTTTTAATGTTAAACCTTCTCGGGGGTTCCAACTGTCTACTTTAAAAATGTAAAACCTTCTCGGGGGCACCAAATGTCTTTTTTTTTAATGTAAAACCTTCTCGGGGCTCCCAAATGTCTTTTTTTTTTTAATGTGAAACCTTCTTGGTAAGCGAAAAAAAACGTTGCTGCCCCGGTGGGAATCGAACCACATGTTTCCCGCTTGCCAGGCGGGTGCCTTGACCACTAGACTACAGAACGGCTTATCTTTACTTGGCTTACCTAGCTATTATTGTGGCGCCACACCTTCTCGGGGGCGCCAAATGTCTTTTTTTTAATGTGAAACCTTCTCAGGGGTTCCAACTGTCTTTTTTAAAAAGAGAAAACCTTCTTTTTTCTATTACACTGTGACTAGTCCCTTGTATATTGTTTTTACTTCATAGAGGTTATCACGAAAAAGTAAATTCCGCAAAATCAAAATTTATAATTTTTCAAAGAAGCAGTTCTGTCGAAATAACTTTGAACTAATCTTTTACTATAGAAATGGTAGTTTTAAAACAATTTTGACGGATTAGGTGAAATGAGACATCCTGTATACGTTTAAGAAAATGTTTGAAACAAAGAATGATGAAGACCACAATACGCGTAGAAGATATCACGTCATTTTATAATTGTATGATGGGGGTTCTGGCTCACATTTTAGAGCGGATTTTTCAGTAAAAATTTATTTAATTGTTTTATTATTTATTAATTTCAAGAAAGTAAATTAAATAACTGTGTTGCAGGACTTGGGGTGGAACTTTACGTTTTCCGCTCGCACTTTTTCTCCTCGTGAAAGTACTTCTTTTATTAGTAGCCGCCACCGTGTTCCTAAAAACGCCGCTCTTCAAAACCGACCAGCTTTGTCTTTCCGAAGACTGCGTAAACACAGGTTTGTAGTCGCACTGAAAAAAAATTTGAATGAAATAACGTAGTTGTTTCGTTTCGTTTTCAGCGTCAAATATTTTACGTGCGATGGATCGTAACACGGATCCTTGTACCGATTTTTATCAATATTCATGCGGTGGATGGATCGCATCAAATCCAGTACCCGACTGGACAGCCACATGGGATAGATTAGCCCTGCTTAGAGAATCCCTGATGCAAAGTATGAAACGGCTCCTCGAAAGAAATGAAATTAATAACAACTCTTCTGAACCAGACGGAATAAGGAAAGCAAGAGCTTTGTACAGAATTTGCATGGATACAGGTGAAACAGAATTTAATAAAAGCTGCAGTTTACGCCTTTCGTGCGCTCTTCGCACTCGATACGTCCCGATTAAACTTTTGCCTCTAAACTGAAAACAAAAATTTAATATTAAGCCACTCTGAAATTCGCGTTAAATTAATTTAACAATGAAACATTCGCGAACGGAATATTTGTGACAACTTGTAGCCGGTGACAAATGACAGGATCTATGGAGATGATGGATAGCTATAGTGTGGCTCGACCGGCTCTAGAACATTTCGATGGACCACGTGATTTGACTACACAACAGCTGTTCCTACTCCGCGTGAGAAGAAACCGTTTTCTGGAATTTGATCCTTATAACATTATCATTATCCTGACGGGAAAAAATTCCTTAACTATTTGCCAGGATGAGCACTTTTCACCAAAATATACAACTGAGTGGCTCGTTTACGACATTCGGTTCACGATGTCACAGTTTTGCGACGCGTTGTAAGTTTCGAATTTTCTCTTTACACGATGCTGTATTTTACAGCAACGCTGGAATCGAAAGGGGTTCTTCCGATTCGACAAATCCTCCAGATGGTTGGATTACCCCCGGATCCCCCCACTAATTCAACTGACGAAAATTTTGACTGGCTACTTACGGTAGCGAGAACACGAAGACTGTTAGGAGTAAGCATGTTGATTGGCATGAATGTTGCCGAAGACGTCAGGAACTCTTCCGTGAATAAGATTGTTGTTAGTATTAATCGACTACTTCCAGACATATACAGGCGGTAACAAAAGTGTAGACTGCAATGCAAGTGTTAAATAAAGTCATCCTAGTATTTTTTATACATTATTTTCATAAAATAAATGTCAAATTTTGCAAGTCTATATATTCTTTTCTTTCTTTTCGAGGGCCCCAATTCTCTCATACATCCCTATATTTGCAATGAATTGTGCCGTCCAGCCCCTATTAACATGTCATCAAATTTCAGTGGATACAAAAGTAATATTCTGGGTGTATTTATTTTTCATTTTTAAAACGATATTTATTACTTGTGTTATTAGGCTTGTTACACCCTGTATATGTCTATATTTTTATATTATATGATTTATTTGTTTGATTGGCTGTTTTTTTATACTGACGCTCTCATTTGACTTAAATATGTTAAAACAACAACGTGGGCATCTTCTGGATAAAATATATAATTTCTAGAGTTTCTAAGATATATAGAAATTGAGTTGCTTTATTCAGTTAATTTAGATACGCGGCATTGTATTATTGTTTAAAAACCGCATATTTATATAAACGTGCTTATAAATTCCATAAACTAAAACATGAATAAATAACTCTCGTGGTTTTGGAGATATGCCGTTGCCACTATTTCGAGGGCTAAGTATACACGTTTTTATATTATAAATGGCTTTAGAGCAAATTCAGCAGATCCCTTTGAAGTTTGTCAGATAAGGGTTTAGAAAACAATTTTTCACGACGTCGCTATGCAATTTTTTTCAACCTATTCAAGTCGAATGCAAGGCTGAAGCATGAAGTTGAACGTAAAAGAAACAGCCAATTTCAGTAATCCGTTTGGTGCAAGTAATGATTTTGATTCGACGTCCACTTATCTCGTTTAAAGTGTAACGTAAAAGAGCATAGTTTATAATGTGTGTATAAAAAGACGTCTAGAAATAATTTTCCCCAGACGGTAAAATTAAGTTTTGTAGATAAATTCTGAATACCCAGTCCCTGCATCAGATTGTATCCATTTCAGATTGAACAAGTATCTCCGGGGTTCGGCGAGAAGTATTTGCTGCAAGCAGAGAAGTTTTCAACAGAAATAAAGAACTATAAAAAGTACATCACGCAGATGCTTACAGCATATACGAACTTCACGGGGGTTGAGTATTTCGCTGAAGACATTGTAAACTTCAGTACGCATATAGCAAAGGTAATTCGATAGCATCTCGAATCTCGAAATTCGCGTGATGAAACTGATAATAGAAATTGGACAAAATGTTGCCGTTTGTTAGTGAATTTTCAGTGGCTATTGCCGCCACAAACAATTATTTATGTAGTTTAGATCAGGTGATTATGTACTTGCTTTTCCGATAATAATAAATTAATCATAATTAGGACAAAATTAGTTTTGGTGGATAACATGTAAAGTCTGACAACGTAGTACAACCAAATGCAAATACATGCGTCATATAAATCACACTGCAACATGTATGTAAAAGTGGGTAGATATACATCGAGCTAAATCCGGGTTGTGTTTAGGTCATGACCCCTTCTGAAACTCGCCGCAGTCCCAACCATCTTTTTCACGAAGTTAACCTTATAGAATTGGCTAACGGACCCGGCATTGACAACGACTCCTGGAGATTTGTAAGTTACATTCATTACAGATGTGCTCCTGCATAAGCAGTTTAAATTAAGCTCGCAGTGGGCTACGAACAAACGAACCAACCACTTGATTTTATTCAATTTATGTTACATAACATCACTTCTTACCACAGGTTTCACCACTTTGACAATCAAGATATGTTAATTAGTCCAACGTTAAAGAGTCAGTCCATACCTACTCACCCACAAAAATTATATTTGTTCTTAAATTCGTCACCAATAACCATTTTTCCAAATTAAAATTCCAATTCCAATTCCAATTTTTAAATGAAAAACATGTTTTAAGTTTCTTGTTGTCGAAATAAATCTACACATATTAGGAAAAAGAAGGCAAAATGTAGCCCCGCCCACCCACCCTATCTCTATTGTGATGATTTTTTTATTCTTCGAGAGCCAAGGGGGCGGAGCTTAACTGCTAAGAATACTATACACATTAAGAAAAAAATAAAGCCCAAGATTAGGCCCACCCATACCCGCCCCGATCTCAGTTCTCAATTGTGATAAATTTTTCATTCGTTGTCAGATCGAGGGGCGGGGCTTAATTTCAAAATCCATATTTGTCTACAAGAATTTACCATTTTAAACATGTTTTAACTTTCTTGTTCTGAAACTGACTACATATGTTAAGAAAAAGGGCAAAATATAAGCCCCACCCACCCACCCATTCTCAATTGTAATGATCTTTTTTTTATATTTTTCCTTGTTTCTTAGTATACATTCTTTGAACAACACGATAGTCAAACACATGTTTTTGATTCCTTGTAAAGAAACAACTATTTTGCAGTTAAGCTCCTCCCCCTTGGTTCACGGCCACTAAAAGATTCATTACAATTGAAAGAGGGCGGGTGGGCGGGCTTATATTTGGCGTTTTTGTTTTAATATATTATATAGACTTCGTTTCATAACATGAAATAAATAAATAAATAAATCGCCCTGTACACTCAGAACGTTATTTTTGTATATAGTCAAATTTTATCATCTTATCTTTATTAAATTAAAATTGTAACGTGAAAAACGGTTAATATTAAATATATATTTTGCTACTTTGTACAAAATTTTCATCATTTCATTCTGTCTCTATTTTATAATTGTCACTAACCCTGCTATTGTGACGTCCAACCCTTCATATAATCTCGTCATTAAATTTTAATCCATAAAAAATCGTTCTGAGTATAAGCCATTATGAACATAATTTCAGTTCATTGTGAATTTTTCGCAAATAAAATTAAACTCAAAGTCGCTCATTATTTAAAATCTTTTTCAAAACTACTTAAAAAAATCGAGTGATATTGTGTGGATTGACTCTTATTAGTTTGGATATAACACTTAAATATGACTAAAATTTAGGATACAGAGAACTACTGACACTTGACTTAACATTATGTCATTGAAAATATTTACGATCAAGTTAGACTGGAACACGAAAACGTTTGTCTGTGATAAAATGGGCTAATAATTTCCAAAGAAGAGCAAAAAGTGAATCATAAATAGTCCCTAACGTCGCAATTCTTCACAAAATTTACACTAGTAGAATGGTACAGTTTAATCCCTGCCATTTTTTTTTTCAGATTTCATTTTTATATTTACTTTTCTCACTACGTTTGACATAATTTTTTCTACGTCTTGTTTTTCGGTTTATTTACTTAAATTTTGATCCTCGATAATTATTAGAAATAGAAAAAAGTCTAAAGTTATACGGTTCTCTGACGACCATACATTAAAATTGTTTTTAACTATACAGAGTGTACTGTTTTAAGACGTAAGACAAAATCCGTATTTCCTTACAAAATTTACCATTTTAAACGTGTCTCAAGTTTCTCAGAATAAAAAAAATCATCACAATTGACACGGGGTGGGTGGGCGGGGTTTATATTTTGCTTTTTTGAGAATACATACTTTTCTTTGAACAACACGATACTCAAAAACATGTTTTTATTTTTTTGTTAAGAAATAAGTTTTTTGCAGTTAAGCTCCTCCCCTAAAATTCACGACCACTAAAAAAATTCATCACAATGGAGATAGGGCGGGTGGGCGGGCTTACATTTTGCCTTTTTGTTTTAATATGTTGTGTAGACTTCTTTTCATAAAACGGAAAATTTGTATAAGGGAATATCGATTAGGCTCCGCCCCATAATTTCAAAATCCATATTTTAAATTTTTAAACGTATTTTAAATTTCTTGTTATGAGCAGATGGTTATGTATATTAAGAAAAAAAGGGCAAAAACAATGGTCGAAAATGTCAAAAGTGTCAAAATCAGTCTTATCTTAGCAAGTACTAGCCCCGTCATCCACCCTCTTCTCATTCTAATGACAAATTTTATTTCTGTTCAGTTTAAGGTCATTCATTTCATTCAAATTGCATAAAATCAATCATTGAAAAGGAGACAGGGTGGGTGGGCGGGGCTAACTAAATTCTTCTGTCGAGTGGGAGGGAAAACTAATATTAGAAGTCGAAAATGATTTCTGGATATGTCAAAAGTGCCAAAAACAATCTTATCTCATCAAATATTAGCCCCGCCCACCCTCCCTATCTCAGTTGTGATCATTTTTTTTTTATTCGTCGTAAGCCGAGGGGAGGAGCTTAATTGTAAAATCCTTATTTTTCTGTTAGAAATTACCTGTGAAATATGTATTTAAGTAACCGTCTTATGCAAAGAAAACTAAATGTATTAATTAAAAAAGAAAACCAAAAGAGAAGCTCCACCCATTCGTCTCGATCTCAAACGTGATTAATTTTTCATTCGTCGTCAGACCCAGGGGCGGAGCGTAATTGTAAAATTGATATTGGATTGACCCTAATTACGTTTGGATATAACACTTAACTGTGACTATTTAAGGTACAGAGAACTACTAACACTTGACTTAACATTATGTCATTGAAAACATTTACGATCAAGTTAGACTGGAGCACGAAAACGTTTGTCTATTATAAAATGGGCTAATAATTTCCAAGGAAATTATTATTACTTCACAAATTTTACACTAGTAGAATAGTACCGTTTAATCCGTGCCTTTTTTTTTTAATTTCATTTTTATAATATTTACTTTTCTCACTACGTTTGACATAATTTTTTCGAATGCTGATGTTACTCTATGTCTTGTTTTTCGGTTTATTTACTTAAATTTTGATTCTCGATATCTAAATATTTATTAAAAATAGAAAAAAGTCAAAGTCTAAAGTTATACGGTTCTCTGACGACCATACATTAAAATTGTTTCTAACTATACAGAATGTACTGTTTTAAGACGTAGCACAATAAAATCCGTATTTCCCTACAAGCATTTACCATTTTAAACGTGTTTTAAGTTTCTCAGAATAAAAAAAATCATCACAATCGAGACGGGGTGGGTGGGCGGGGTTTATATTTTGTTTTTTTTTTTAGTATACATAGTATTCTTTGAACAACACTATACTCAAAAACATGTTTTTAAGTTCTTGTGAGGAAATAAGTTTTTTGCAGTTAAGCTACTACCCTTTGCTTCACGACCACTAAAAAAAATTCATCACAATTGAGATAGGGCGGGTGGGCGGGCTTACATTTTGCCTTTTTGTTTTAATATGTTGTGTAGACTTCTTTTCACAAAATGCAAAATTTGTATAAGGGAATATCGATTAGGCTCCGCCCCATAATTTCAAAAACCATATTTTAAAATTTTAACCATATTTTTAATTTCTTGTTATGAGCAGATGGTTATGTATATTAAGAAAAAAAAAAGGCAAAAACAGTGGTCGAAAATGTCAAAAGTGGCAAAAATAGTCTTATTTTATCAAATATTAGCAACGCCCACCCGCCCTCTATTTTCTCAGACGGTATGTTATTTGTCAAAATCAGTCTTATCTTAGCAAGTACTAGCCCCGCCCACCCACCCTCTTCTCATTCTAATGACAAATTTTATTTCTGTTCAGTTTAAGGTCATTCATTTCATTCAATTGCATAAAATCAATCACTGAAAAGGAGACAGGGTGGGTGGGCGGGGCTAATTATTATCTTCTGTCGAGTGGGAAGGAAAACTAATATTAGACGTCGAAAATGATTTCTGGATATGTCAAAAGTGCCAAAAACAGTCTTATCTCATCAAATATTAGCCACGCCCACCCGCCCTATCTCAATTGTGATGATTTTTTTATTCGTCGTAAGCCGAGGGGCGGAACTTAATTGTAAAATCCTTATTTTTCTACGAGAAATTACCATGTGAAATATGTTCTTAAGTAGCCGTGTTATACAAAGAAAACTAAATGTATTGATTAAAAAAGAAAACCAAAACAGAAGCCCCACCCATTCGTCTCGATCTCAAACGTGATGAATTTTTCATTCGTCGTCAGACCGAGGGGCGGAGCGTAATTGCAAAATTGATATTGGATTGACCCTAATTACGTGGATACAACACACTTAACTGTGACTATTTAAGATACAGAGAACTACTAACACTTGACTTAACATTATGTCATTGAAAACATTTACGATCAAGTTAGACTGGAGCACGAAAACGTTTGTCTGTGATAATTCGAATGCTGATGTTACTCTATGTCTTGTTTTTCGGTTTATTTAAATTTTGATCCTCGATATCTAATTAATTATTAGAAATAGAAAATATGCTAAAGTTGTACAGTTCTCTGACGACCACACATTAAAATTGTTTCTAAGTATATAAAGTGTACTGTTTTAAGACGTGACAACAATTTTTTTTTTAAATCCTGTATATTTTTATATATTTTGAAATTCCGATGCCACGTTATTCCACTTTTTTCGAAATTCTTACTCCCCGAACGTAAGCTAAGGAAGTATTGTGACATGGTCCATCCTACAATTTTCCATTTTCATGATTTCTTGACGTTTCATGATCCCTACAGAAAATAGGTCGCCCGTTTCCGTCTATCTGCCTGTATTCCCAAATTTTCGGGAAAATAGAGTGAACCGTTCCCGATTTATTCAATAAAATACAATTTTTATTCATATTTTTAAGTCACCCTGTATAACAGTTCTAAAAAAATATTAATTCAATGATAAATCACATATATTAATGATGTCGTGCACATCCTATACGATTTATTCGGCACAATTTTGAAGTGACATCATAATGTATTTTCATTAAAAATTTACCGTGCTTAGGAGAACTTTAAAACGTATCCGAGATTTATTATTAAATTTCAAAATGTTTGTTATACAATTTTGATTTGTTTCTACAAATCTGGATGTATCGGGTAAAAATTCAACACGGGTTCATAAACTACACATGAGGACCATGTTACACAATATTTTACAATCGTATTTATCTTCCCCCTCCCCCAAATTGATGACGTCATCCAGTACATGCGTAACTTCGACTATTAGCACGTTCCGATAGCAAGCATCTGCGTTAAAAGAAAATGAAATTTGAATGATTTTGTCGCCTCAAAACACAGGACAAAACAATTTTATTAATTAAACTACAATGGAGCAAAACGGTGAATATAATTTTGGGCAAGTTGTTATTATGGTAATTATTATTTTATTATTAAACATAAAAATCTAAAAAACGGGCTGTTCTATTTGGAAAAACTGAAAACTGTAACATTTTATATATTTTTTTAAAAACACTCTGTATTTTGAAATTTGATTTAGTTTATACCACAAGAAACTGTGTACCTCTGTTTATCTTTCCATACAATATTGCAACACAGATCTTAAAAATAACATTATTACGATTTTTTTTGTGAACGGTTGCATTGCTAAAGAAATTCAAAAAAATTGAAATGACATGGCATCTCGTATCGAAATTTCAAAAACAGAACACTCTGTATATGCCGCCGTTTGTTTATCACATACGTCACTGTCGGTGATGCCAGACACCACACTCTTTCTTTTCTCAAACAACGCCTCCCGAGCTCTTGGCAATATGCTGTCGATATCGCTTAAGAACATCACAAATAGACTGGGACTTAGCGGACATCCCTGTCTAACACCTCTGTCCGTATGAAAGCCATGACTTTACACTTTCGGGCATTCACACCACAAGTCCTCGCTCATTTCTCTCTTTCTTGTGTAGTCTCACAGTTGTCTCTGTTCGACCTATCGAAAGCTACTTTATGGTCCACAAATATTTATGACTTCCCAGGGGTAAACTAGTTACTATCTCCACAATCTGCATCAATATATATGCACTGTGTATTGTTCTTCCAACATTTTTTTAAATATCATGGCATAAATCCTGTATTTGGTCGTAATTTCTACTTTGATCGTGTTAAGTACAGATTAAATAAAATTTTCACTCGTTGGTCAGTTCGAACTAGCGGACTGGTTGCATGAATTGTACTAAAAATAAATTTTTAGGTGAATTGGACAAGATACCTGAATATAATTTTTAACGACACCACCGTTATTTTAGATCGACGAAACGACACAGCAATTTTGTTAGATTTGCCGTATTTGCAAAAACTGTCAAAACTGTTAAAAACTTCCGACAGAGTTATAGTAGGTAAGTTTGTGTGTTTCCGTTATTTTGTTTGTCCACCTGTCACGTTAGTTTAATGAGAAAACGTAGAGAGTTTTGTCCCGAAATCTAGCGTGGAGACACTTATGAATGATACTTTGTGTGGAAAGTGTGTAGTTTCCTTGTGGGATTTGTGTAATATGTGTAATTGTATTACCAGAGAGGTTCCTGTGGTGGAGCGTATTCTCAACAGTAGCCCCACTTACTTTAACAAAGTTCCGATCGTTGGGATTTGAATTTTCTCAACAATTGTTGGGTCTGCAGAGCAGAACTCCCAGATGGAAAGGATGTACCAGTAACGTTAATGCCAATTTTGGGCTGGCTCTGAGTTATCTATACGTAAAATCGCACTTCGATAAGGAGCACCGTGATAAGGTAAATTAATAACCTGTTTTGCGTTAATTGAGCACGAATATTTTTTCCGCATGCTCAACTGGCGTTCCACAAATACACGCCTCACACTTTTCGGTTTTATTTCATGTTTAAAATCCAGGCTTTAGAAATGCTCGAGGACATACGAAAAGCGTTCGAAGATGCTGTGCATGAGCTGGATTGGATGGATGGAACCACACGTGAAAAGACGCTGACTAAACTACACGCAATCAGAGCTTTTGTTGGGTACCCAGGATGGATTATGAACGCTACACAACTTGACAAACATTATAAAAAAGTAGGTTATGCGATGTGAGCTTTGTTTCATACCAAATAGGCCACGATAAAGCCACTATTGTTACACTAATCTGACAATAAATATTTTTCAATACGTTCAAACAATCCCCTCAACAAACTATTCTGCAGTTTTATCGTGATTATTCGCTATTTCAAAAATTATTTTTAGAACTACTCCTTTATTAAGTATTATTATTGTGAATACAATTTGAAGTCGTTCGGTGCACCAATATCAATGCGAACACGGCATCGATTTATTCCTAATTTGTGATCTACCCACGGCTTCCACACACTTAACCAAAACAAAAATAGTTCTCCGTCAGAATTGAACCTCTCCCTTTTTTCAGAAAAACAGACCACACTTTCATCTGACCCTTCACTCACGTCACAACTGAACGCTCTCTCGTTGTTTTTAAATACCTCTCTTTAATCTAAAACAACCGCTTTTTCTACTTCTAAAAACAAACACACTTCTCAGTCATGAAAGCGTTAGAAAAAATTTTCGACGAAGTCGTGATGGAGCCGCAGGTAGAGCATGGCTTAGGGAGTAATTAGTAATAAAAAAAAAAACATGAAGTTCTGCTTCTAATAATTGGAATACAAGACCGAATTCGCCTGTTACACTTCGCAATTTAAGAAATTATTTTTTCCGAGTCTGTTTTTCTTAATCTTCGACGAAGTTTATTTGGAGTTGTGAACAAGGCTTAAACTGTTATTTTGCATCTTTTAACGAAGTTCGGTGATGATTGAGTATCCTTTAAAACTTTTTATTGTGCTTTAATACACCGTAAGGAAACTAAATGTCTTTACTTTCCGACGTTTCGTTCTTTCTAGTAACTTTAAAAAATCCGCTTTATAAGAAAAAAATTGGTTCAAGGAAGCGGAGAGAAGTCCGCACATTATTCTGTGATAACGCTGATCACCCTTATGAATAAAAATTTAAATAATACCAGTCACAGTGTAAAAAAAATTGTAAAGAAATTGTGATAAAAATCAAGGCGGATTCATTAACAACGAATAGTAGTATATTATTTTCTAAAATTTATATAACCTTTACTACCCCAAATGATGAGGTTGGGTCATCAAATTGTATTTTTCCATTGTTCGTAAATAACAGTTTTTATAAACACAATAATATCGTTCTTACATGCAAAAAAATGAGTGTTAATGGATATTTCAAAATATTATTTTAATAAATCTGTAACTGGAAGGTTTTTTCTATAAGCCAAAAAGGGCGCACCGTTTTTTCTGAATACCATCAAATACTTAAAACTTCTCGATAAAGCTCAGTTGAAATTAAGCTCCGCCTCTCGTTTCACTCATTTAGGATAAAAGATGTGAGTGGGCGGGGCATTCGTTCAATGTTTTACTTAGAATGGTCGTCTTTTCAGTAGTAATGAATTGTTGAAAAAAAACTCAAAAGGCATTTTTTCTACAGAAATATTTAATTTGCATCTCTAAGTTTCGCTCACTTTGAGCTCATGAGAAATAAATGGATCATTAAGGCGGAGTTTAGGGTGGGTGGGTGGGGCATCTTTTTTGTATCAGAGTAAGCAACAAACGGGCACACCTTTTTTTAAGCCAACAATTTTCAGTGAACAAATACTTAAAACGTGTTCAAAATATAGATATTTCTAAAAAAGTCCTCATTTGAAATTAAGCTCCGTCTCTCGTTTCACGATTAATTTAGGCTAGAAAAGGTGAGTAGGTGGAGCTTATTCGTTTAATGTTTTCTTAGAATGATCGTGTTTTCAGTAGTAATGCATTATTAAAAAAAATCAAAGGTCATTTTTTTCTACAGAAATATTTAATTTGCATCTAAGCTTCGCCCGCTTTGAGTTTATGAAGAATAAACGGATCATTAAGGCAAAGTTTAGGGTGGGTGGGCGGGGCATCTTTTTTATATCACAGTAAGCAATAAACGGGCACATCGTTTTTTTTTAAAGCCATCAATTTTCAAACAAATACTTAAAATGTGTTCAGAATAGAGATATTTCTATAAAAATACTAATTTGAAATTAAGCTCCGCCTTTCGTTCATGATTAATACACTCATTTAGGCTAGAATAGGTGAATGGGCGGGGCATTCGTTTAATGTTTTACTTAGAATGGTCATCTTTTCAGTAGTAATGAATTGTTGAAAAAAAACTCAGAAGGCATTTTTTCTACAGAAATATTTAATTTGCATCTCTAAGCTTCGCTCACTTTGAACTCATGAGCAATAAATGGATCATTAAGGCGGAGTTTAGGGTGGGTAGGTGGGGCATCTTTTTTCTATCAGAGTAAGCAATAAACTGACACACCTTTTTTTTAAGCCAACAATTTTCATTGAACAAATACCTAAAACGTGTTCAAAATTTAGAAATTAAAAAAAAAAATCTTCATTTGAAATTAAGCTCCGCCTTTCGTTCAACGATTAATTTAGGCTAGGAAAGGTGAGTAGGCGGGGCTTATTGGTTTAATGGTTTCTTAGAATGGTCGTGTTTTCAGTAGTAATGAATTATGGAAAAAAAAATCAAAGGTAATTTTTTTCCAACGGAAATATATAATTTGCATCTAAGCTTCGCCCGCTTTGAATTCATGAGGAATAAACGGATCATTAAGGCAGAGTTTAGGGAGGATGGGCGGGGCATCTTTTTTATATCACAGTAAGCAATAAACGGGCACATCGTTTTTTTAAAGCCATCAATTTTCAAACAAATACTTAAAATGTGTTCAAAATAGAGATAAGTATTTCTATAAAAATACTCATTTGAAGTTAAGCTCCGCCTTTCGTTCATGATTAATACACTCATTTAGGCTACAATAGGTGAATGGACGGGGCATTCGTTTAATGTTTTACTTAGAATGGTCGTCTTTTCAGTAGTAATGAATTGTTGAAAAAAAACTCAAAAGGCATTTTTTCTACAGACATATTTAATTTGCATCTCTAAGTTTCGCTCACTTTGAGCTCATGACAAATAAATGGATCATTAAGGCGGAGTTTACGGTGGGTGGGTGGGACATCTTTTTTGTGTCATAGTATGCAATAAACGGGCACACCTTTTTTTAAGCCATCAATTTTCATTCAACATGTAGGAACAACCGTTCCCACAAAATCAGGTGTTCTACCTGAGCGCATTCAAATAATTGTAAAAATGTAAATACTTCCTATCCTTCGTCTACCTGCCCTACGCTCCTACATACTTTCTCTTTTTCGATTCTAGAATTTTCTAAACCCTTCTTTACCTACTTCCACCTCTTCGAAACCGAGCTTACCTGTGTACCATTTTAAACACCCTTCCTTCTTCTTCCTCGCACTCTCGAACAGTAAAGAACAAAATAAAAACTGAAAACCGTACCGTCGCTTTTAAATCACCAACAATACCCACAAACAAATACTTAAAACGTGTTCAAAATATAGATATTTCTAAAAAAATCCTCATTTGAAATTAAGCTCCGCCTCTCGTGTCACAAATAATTTAGGCTAGAAAAGGTGAGTAGCGGAGCTTAATCGTTTAATATTTTCTTAAAATGATCGTGTTTTCAGTAGTAATGAATTATTAAAAAAAATCAAAGGTCATTTTTTTCTACAGAAATATTTAATTTGCATCTAAGCCTCGCCCGCTTTGAGTTCATGAAGAATAAACGAAGCATTAAGGCGGAGTTTAGGGTGGGTGGGCGGGGCATCTTTTTTATATCACAGTAAGCAATAAACGGGCACGTCGTTTTCTTTTAAAGCCATCAATTTTCAAACAAATACTTAAAATGTGTTCAAAATAGAGATATTTCTATAAAAATACTCATTTGAAATTAAGCTCCTCCTTTCGTTCACGATTAATACACTCATTTAGGCTAGAATAGATGAATGGGCGGGGCATTGGTTTGATGTTTTACTTAGAATTGTCGTGTTTTCAGTAGTAATGAATTGTAGAAAAAAAATCTCAATATGCATTTTTTCTACAGAAATATTTAATTTGCATCTCTAAGTTTCGCTCACTTTGAACTCATGAGAAATAAATGGATCATTAAGGCGGAGTTTAGGGTGGGTGGGCGGGGCATCTTTTTTTATCACAGTCAGCAATAAACGGGCACATCCTGTTTTTTAAACCAACAATTTTCAAACAAATACTTAAAATGTGTTCAAAATATAGCTATTTCTATGAAAATCCTCATTTGAAATTAAGCTCCGCCTTTCGTTTCACGATTAATAAACACTCATTTAGGCTAGAAGAGGTGTGTAGGCGGGGCATTATTTTGATGTTTTTCTTAGAATGGTCGTGTTTTCAATAGTAATGAATTATTAAAAAAAAAAAAAAAACTCAAAAGGCTCTTTTTTCTACAGAAATATTTAATTTGCATCTCTAAGCTTCGCTCAATTTGAACTCATGAGGAATAAATGGATCATTGAGGCCGAATTTAGGGTGGGTGGGCGGGGCATCTTTTTTGTATCATAGTAAGCAATAAACAGGCACACCTTTTTTTTAAAGCCAACAATTTTCATTGAACAAATACCTAAAACGTGTTCAAAATTTAGAGATTTCTAAAAAAAATCCTCATTTGAAATTAAGCTCCGCCTCTCATTTAACGATTAATTTAGGCTAGGAAAGGTGAGTAGGCGGGGCTTATTCGTTTAATGGTTTCTTAGAATGATCGTGTTTTCAGTAGTAATGAATTATTGAAAAAAAAATCAAAGGTAATTTTTTGTTCTACAGAAATATATAATTTGCATCTAAGCTTCGCCCGCTTTGAGTTCATAAAGAATAAACGGATCATTAAGGCGGAGTTTAGGGTGGGTGGGCGGGGCAACTTTTTGTTTCACAGTAAGCAATAAACAGGCACACCGTTTTTTCTGAAAGCCATCAAGTTTCAATAAACAAACACTTGAAACGTATTCAAAATTCAGATATTTCTATAAAAATTTTCATTTCAAATTAAGCTCCGCCTTTCGTTTCGCTATTAATAAACACTCATTTAGACTAGAAGAGGTGAGTGGGAGGGGCTTATTCGTTTAATGTTTTTC